GTTAAAGAAAAAGGAAATACTCTTTGGCATTCTGGCGGCCTACCAAGGCTTTTGCCATGGTGTGATGGTGATAAGATGCCTTGGCTGTGCCCGCCCCACTTCACTCGAACCAGGGGCACTTAAATCTTTGTTCTTCTGCCGAATCATACGCCCAAGACATGGGCTTATATGGTGAGCAGAATGGGATCTGGAGGTCCCATTTCCACATGGGTCCACCAGGAGCTGGCTCTGGCAGAGGCCGCGGCGGCGAGGCCCGGGTGGAAGGCGGCGGCGATCCCGGAGAGGACGCGGCCGGAGTGCAGCAGGGCCATGGTGGACGGTAGGAGGGCAGTGGGCCACCGCAGGACCGAGCAGAGGGCGAGCGGACCCCAAGTCTGTTTTTGTCTTTTCATATTTATTATATTTCAGAAAGTTTTAACTTTTATACATTAAATATTTACCTCTTTATCTTTATGCTTCCTTTTGGATAATTCCTATTGCTATATCTTCAAGTTCATTGACCTTAAATAGTATTTTATCTGCTGTTAATTGCATCTGGTGAAATGTTTATTTCAGATATCGTATTGATCATCTCTACAAGTTCCATTTGGTTATTTTTATATTTTTCATTCTCTCCTTTCTATCTGCATATTTTACTTTAAATCTTTGAGCATATTTATAATAGTCATCTTAAAGGCCTTGTCTGACAGTTGCATCATTTTTGTTATATCTGGTTTGCTTCTATTGAATACATTTTATTCAGATTATGGACCACACTTTCTTGCTTCTTTGCATAGCTAGTAATTTTTGATTGGATGCCAGATATTGTAAATTTAATGTTGTCGAGTGCTTGATTTTGTTGTATTTCTTTAAAGAGTGGTGGGCTTTGTTCTGTTAGATAATTGATTTACTTGCAGATCCCTTTATCTTTTTGAGGTTTGTTTTTAAAGCATTCTAAAGGATAGAGCTAGAGTGGCCTGTACCCATGGCCAGGTTAGCCCCTCTCCTAAGGGTAACCCTCCTGGGTCTTTACTGAATGCCACATATATTTAATGAGGTCCCTCCACTCTGACCGGTGGGAACTGGAAGAATTTCTAACCCTGTGTGAGCTCAACATGTTTTGACCTACAGATTTCAAGTAATTGTTCTCTGGCAGGTGTTTGCCTAGCCTAATGGAATTTACTGTTTATCAGATTGCTATTCAGCCAAACACTCAGGAGACCTCTATGCAGATTTCTGGAGCTCTTTCTCCTTGTAGCTTCCTCCTGTCTGGTATTTTTCCCCCTAAATTCTGCCTCAACCTCTCTGCACTCTGATCTCTGTTTTCTCAGTTCAGTGCCGTTCTATGTGAGAATCTTCTGGTTCTGTAATCGAGGATTTGCCCCAGGCAGAACGCCTGTGCAATATAGGATTCGTCTTATTTGTTCATAGTCCAACACTATCTGTTTTCTCTTTGAAAACAGTTGTTTCACATATTTTCCCAACTTTATTATTTTTTTTTCTTTTTGTTTTTTAATGGCAGAAAGGCAAGTTCCACAGTAGTTACCAAACATTCAGCTTTTTATACGTTATTTTCTTTGTAATTTTTTTCTATTATACATATCTGAGAAAATTTTTTATCTTGCTCTCAGAAATGTGATAACCCAGGAAAGGCGAGGAGAATTTGGTAGTGAGAAGGGAGGAGGAGTGATTTGAAGAGATACTGCAACAGGAACAAGGAGTAGGATCTGGCAATTGCATATGGGGTGTGTGTGTGTATGTGTGTGTGTGTGTGTGTGTGTGTGTGTGAATTATGAGAACTAAAGGGGGGCCTAAAGTTATAATAAAAATGAGGGAGACACTGAAGATAAATCTTTCAGCCAAATGGTGCTGGATCAGATGTGCTGATCTTGAGATAAGGTCATTTCATTCTTATTTATAATTTGAGAAGAAGAGGAAGGTGCATATCCAAAAGAAGACGTGACGATGTTGAAGAAGTAACTGTATAAACACATGAGATATTGTACAAAAAGCACTGAACTGGGAACTGGAAATTCTAGGTTCCAGTTCCTGTTCTACCATTTGCAAGCTCTGCAGCCTGCAGCTTATCTGAGCCTTAGTTTCTTTGTTCAATGGGAAAAATAGCTGTCATACGTACCTCCCAGGAGAAGCTCAGATAAAATAATGCAAGTGAGAATGCATTATAAGCCACCTTGTACCATACAGAGGGAAGATATCACTATAGGTTTGTTATATTTTGCCTAGTAAATGTCAAGATGCAGAGGGTCAGAGCAAAACTTCAATCAAAGCCACACAGTTATGATCTTGGAGGTTTTCCTAAACAAGGTGTCATTAAAGGTGGAAACAAGGCGAGGCACAGTGTCTCACGCCTGTAATCCCAGCACTTTGGGAGACCAAGGTGGGCAGATCATGAGGTCAGGAGTTTGAGACCAGCCTGGCCAACGTGGTGAAACCCTGTCTCTACTAAAAATACAAAAATTAAATGGACGCAGTAGCATGCGCCTGTAGTCCCAGCTACTTGGGAGGCTGAGGCAGAAGAATCGCTTGAACCCGGGAGGCGGAGGTTGCAGTGAGCTGAGATCACAGTACTGCACTCCAGCCTGGTGACAGAGCAAGACTCTGTCTCAAAACAAACAAACAAAAAACTGGAAACAACAGCTGGAGGGAAAGTAACAGGTATTATGGGAACCACCATAAACAAAACATTAGAGGCAGAACCAAGCTCTCTTTTTATGTTGGCCCCTGGGACAGTTTACTCTTCTCCCCTACAAAGAGTAGCTGACCAACACTTGGAGGAAACTATGGCAGAGAGTTTAAAGCCTGGAGTGGGAAGATTAGGGGTGTGCTGGAGGAGAGATGGGGCGCTGGCTGAGAAGAAGCTAAGAGGGATGGCTGGAGAGAGAGATACAGAGATGTGGGAGAGCAAAGTGACTTGTCACCACTGCTTTTTGACTGGAGTGGCAGTGGGGCTAATTATTAAAATAATGCCTACTAATTGTAAAAATTCATGGACAATAGAAGGGAATACGCTCAGCTCCTTTTCACCACTGTTTTTTGTTTGTTTTTTTTGCTTTTTTTTTTTTCCCCCTCGCTCTGTCACCGGGGCTGGAGTGCAGTGGCGCGATCTCGGCTCACTGCAAGCTCCGCGTCCTGGGTTCACGCCATTCTCCTGCCTCAGCCTCCCGAGTAGCTGGGATTACAGACGCCCGCCACCTCGCCCGGCTAGTTTTTTTGTATTTTTTAGTAGAGACGGGGTTTCACCGTGTTAGCCAGGATGGTCTTGATCTCCTGACCTTGTGATCTGCCCGTCTCGGCCTCCCAAAGTGCTGGGATTACAGGCTTGAGCCACTGCGCCCTGGCTTTTTTTTTTTTTTAAATGGAGATAAAGCCTCACTCTGTCGCCCAGGCTGGAGTGCAGTGGTATGATCTCGGCTCACTGCAACCTCCGCCTCCCAGGTTCAAGCGACTCTTATGCCTCAGCCTCCCGAGTAGCTGGGACCACAGGTGCGCGCCACCACACCCAGCTAATTTTTGTATTTTTAGTAGAGATGGGATTTTACCATGTTGGCCAGGCTGGTCTCAAACTCCCGACCTCAGATGATCCATCTGCCTCGGCCTCCCAAAGTGCTGGGATTACAGGCATGAGCCACCACGCCCGGCCCCCTTCCTCCTCCTGAAAAGAAGGTGGATCTCAAGGCTCAGTCCTGCTCTTCCCTGCACATCCTTTGCTCTTGCAGGTCTCCTCTTCCGTGCAGATGGCTCCCTGATCTCCTCTTCAATATCTGAATTCTCTCAAAAGTTGCAAGTCTGGATTTGCCATGACTTGCTGGACATCTCTTCCTTTATCTCATACCCACCACTGCTCATAAAGATTTGTCGATAACCAAAGTCAGTCATTTGTCTTAGTTTCCTGCTTTAAGCTTTCCATTTTTTATCGCTGGCATTTATGTGTACCCAAAGTCATGCGCTCAAAACATTGCCCTTATCCTTGACTTTTCTCATTAACATCCAGCTCTAACTGGTTCTTCTCCTGTAATATCTTTCTCCTCCGTCCCATTGTTTCATTCTATTTTTACCACCTAGATCATGACAGACTTCCTGCCGTGAATCTGTCCCCACTCCAGCCTGTCTCCTTACAGCTGCCACGTGAACCTTTATAAAATGCTATTTACAAGTTAATCCTGTCTTCCTCCTGAACACAGAATTCCTCACGTTCTTGCTTACCTGCCACTGTCCCAATTTCTAATCCTGGTAATTATACCTCCCACCGTCTAGCACCAAACTGTCTTCCCAGACTCACCTCCATGCTTTTCCCACACCCGTGTTCCACTCCAGCCCAAATCATTTAGTTACTGTTCTCTTGAAACACTTCACATTTGCTGACTCCTGGGTCTTTCCTTGAGCCACTAACTTCAATCTGAAATTTTGATCTCTTTTTTTTGAACTTGTTCAAGAACTTTTTTCCCAGCTCAAATCCCAGTCAAGCCCTGCGTCTTTCAAGAAGCATTTTTTTTAGCTGGGCATGGTGGCTCATACTTGTAATCCCAGCACTTTGGGAGTCTGAGGTGGGAGGATTGCTTGAGCCCTGGAGTTGAGACCAGCCTAGGCAACATAGTGGGACCCCATCTCCACACACACACACACACACACACACACACACACACACACACAAATTAAAAAGAAGCAGCATTTTTTGACCACCTCCACAGTCCATGGAATTGACCCTTTCAAAACCTGAGGCCAATGCTTATTGATAGACTGAATTGGTATTTACATATTACCTCTTTGCCTCCCTGAGTTTCCCTGTGCACAGACTATACCTATTTCTGTATTTACCTTCAGTGCCCGGCACAGGATCTGGACACCATAGATGTTCCATAACTTTTTGAAAAAATTATTTATATATTTAGAGACAGGGTATCTCTCCGTCACCTAGGCTGGAGTGCAGTGGCACGATCGTAGCTCACCACAGCTTTATGTTTATGTTCCTTGGCTCAAGCGATCCTCCGGCCTCGGTCTCCCATGTAGCTAGGACTACAGGTGCAGGCCACCACACCTGGCTAACTTTTTTTTTTTTTTTTTTTACTTTTCGTAGAGATGGGAGTTTGACTATGTTGCCCAAGCTGGTCTTGAACTCCTGGCCTCAAGCACTCCTCCTGCCATGTCCTCTCAAAATGCTAGGATGACAGGCATGAGCCACCATGCCTAGCCTCAGTAGCTTTTATGCGCAACGATTATGCTTCTGCATAGGTTGAAGGTTTGAAGGCAAGAAGAGAAAGTTTTGGGAATAAACAAGGGAGATGTTATAGGAATGGATGAAGGATAAAACTGTGGTGGGGACAAAGGGTTAAAGGAGAGGCAAAATTGGGTTTGGGGATTA